CGCAAATTAGCTATTATTGGTGGCGTGAACCTTTAACATGAAATAAACGCTGTGAAATAATAACAGATAAAGTATATTCCTCAACTTTCGCACGATGCAAGTTTCTTAGATGGTTTTATATAAACGCACAAGTGTACACGTCTTGCTGTTTGCTGCAATTAGCCGAAAATATCAGCAACTGGAAGTATGCTTGACCCAGCGTGCTTGTCATCATTAAACGGTAACTTTAGGAATCATTTTATATTTATTTTGAGACTTAGCAGGGGAAATACAGGCTCACGAGAACTTCACACGTTAATGTTGCACTTTGTTGCCTGTTTATTCACAGTGATGGCCTGAAGCCAGGGCAGGTGATCACCATTCAAGGAAAGATTCCAGATAATGTGGAACAGTAGGTACATTTTTATTATACACTTATGCACGCGCGAACACACGCACGATCGCACACACTCACACAAACGCGCGCGCGCACACACACACGCACACGCAGCGGCACACACACGCACACGCAGCGGCACACACACGCACACGCAGCGGCACACACATCTATCTATCTATATACTATCTCTCTCTCTCTCTCATCTCTCTCCTCTCTCTATATATAATAAATAATATAATATATATATATTATATATNGTTCAGTCTCTTCCTTGATGCGGGTAATCAAAAATAGTGGAAGCGTCGAGCTGGTTACCAACAATAATAAGTGGCTGATGAAGACAAGACGCCAACCATGGCGAATCGAACTTTCTCGGAGGACATCATCATGTCCCTACACATTAGCATGCAGCACCATGAAAACCTGCTGCTTATTGGCGACCTGAACTTCGACATGCTATGTCAAGAGAAGTCGCAGACACTGAAGGACATTTAATTGTGACGTTTTCGACTTGGCAAATTTGATAAAAACACCTACCTGTTTTACAAAAAACTGTGATCCATCTCTAGTCGATGTCATACTGACAAATCGTTATAGGTCTTTCAAAAAATCCATGTCATGTGATATTGAGCTGAGTGATTGTCACCATATTATAGCTTGTGTGATGAAATGTAAAATTAAACCTCGCTCTCAGACCCAAATTCGGTATAGATGTTTCAAAAACCTTGATGAGAGTGAGTTGGTCGGTGATGTCGGGCGGGCAGCACTCCATGTGGCACATGTGTTTGATGACATAGATGATCTACTGGGCCCATGGGGTGATGCTTGGCGTGGTCATCGACCGGCACATTCCCATAAAGGTAAATAAACGGGGAATTAATGAAAGCTATCAACTTTAAGAAAAAACTAAAAATGGCGTATTTTCCTAAAATGTAAATTAAAAATGAACTGGGAAAATTACCGAATTCAAAGGAATAAGGTTACACAATTTAAAAGAGAGTTCNAGGGAACTAGGGAACCTAGGGAACCTAGGGAACCTAGAACCTAGGGAACCTAGGGACCCTAGGGAACCTAGGGAACCTAGAACCTAGGGAACCTAGGGAACCTAGGGAACCTAGGGAACCTAGGGAACCCTAGGGAACCTAGGGAACCTAGAACCTAGGGAACCTAGGGGGCTAGGGAACCTAGGGAAACTAGGGAAACCAGCAGGGAAACCATATTCATTTTATTGTGCCTCTACTGGAATCCATTACAGAAAATTACAATGCTGCTGTCGCTCTTATAAATCTAGTGATATCTTCGTATATAAAAAAATATATTCGCTGAACACTGATACATGTGTACGTGAATAATTTACACTAAAAATAGTCTGCCTGTATACGCACATACTTCCGAAAGCCTGTATATTTAAGCTACATTCAATAGCAATGGTGCATCTAAAAGTTTGACATCTATCTTTGCGTACAGAACATACACTAGTTCCACACTCGTGCAGTTATTTTCAAGCGGCGAGACACCAACATATTACAGAACAGATGATCTAACTTCATGAAAGGGTGAACTGGTAAGACATGACGCTAACGCAAACAGCGCAACATTTTAACACGAAAAGTTATTCGCACACCGGCAACACATTAAATAAAACATTGCTACGGCTGACAGAAATAATATCAGAATATCGTAACTGACGATGTTTGTTAATGTCTACACTACCTTACTTACAGTTCGCACACCTAAAGCAAACCGTTTTCGATAAATTCTTGAGGGAGTTTCCAGGACTTAAAACGCCTAAGACCAAGAATAACAATTTTAGCCGAATACTATATTTGTGCCTCGTATCATCCAACCAGCGATTGGTGAACAAAATCTTTCATGAACCGAATATTATTGCAACTCAGAAAATATAAATACGTTCTCAATTTCAAGGACGTTGTATGACCAAACGCAATGACAACCAATCTTTGAGTCCCTTCCAGGGTTACACCCTATTTTCCATGACATTTCAGACTTGGAAAATAATCATTTTAATACTCAAAAATTTTCGAGGACCCGTTAGAACCCTGTTATTGGACTACCTACAAACGCAGGTGGAACCCTGCCTCTTTTCGAATATGGTGCCTCTAACGTCACTAATGAAGAAAAGCGATGAAGACCGAAATGACGTGACAAACACTGTGGTTCCATTAGAGCGCCATGACGACGTTGATGATAAAAATGTAAAACTAATGTGCAAATACATGTAGCAAACATGTGTGACAAGTATTTACAAATGCGCACAAAAATAGTTGCTACTAGACATAATACTAGGCTAAAATAATATAGGTATAATATATAGGTATTTTATAGAGTATCCAACACCAACCCGTCAAGAAGAAACTAACGAGTGTTCGTGGGTTTTCAACCTGTCTAAACCACATTCATGTTTTTACGATAAACATGCGCGACATCTACCTCTATAAATTTTAACAGGAATTTTAACTTTAAATTAGGAATATAGACGAGTAGGAGTTAAACATGCAACTATAATAAAATGCAACAAAAGCCGCTTAGATGCTAAAACACTGCTCATGACACCAGAATAATAACAGCAGGGCCCTGACCACGGTGCGAATTGGATGTACCACAATTCATACCCACTTTCTTTAGACTAACACATACAGACGCCATTAACTACAGGATGACAAGGCAGTGTAAGGAAACCACTTACTCATATTTTACTAATAAATTACTGGAAAACCCAAGTAGAACTACGGACTTTGGTTTTAATTTGGCGTTTTACACGGTATTTTATTATTACACGGTCTATCTTTGGCTGGCTATATTAAGCTAATGCTTAATAATTTCTGCACAAATCACATACATGGAGAAAAAAAGGCAAAGGAAAAAAAACAATCTGCCAACTAAATGATATCTTGAAATAATTCAATCTTTATTTGACAAGTTGATTGCCCAGGGGCGTGTACAGGGGTGTCCAGGGGGTCCGGACCCCC